TGCATCTTAAAACATTGCATGGACTAGTTGAATGATTGACATTCAATGCGAATTTCAGACGTTATTTTTTTTTTTTAAAATGTAAACGGAATTTTCACACTTATGGGAGTTAAATGAATTTATGTTTATTCCAAGTTTTCTCCTGGCATCTTATCTTTTAAATAAATGTTAGACATGTATGTGTCCAACACTCCAACATATAATAAAACAAGTGTATTGCAAATAAGTTGTATCAACAGTGTGATATTTTATTACTTGCGCTACTTATTACTTATACTTGTTTTAATTATATGAATGTATTAAGCATAATTTATATACGGAGTACACAATTTTTTTTTAAAAAAAAAAAATTCATTTTTTGTGATTTGAAAGATGCAGGAGGTGGTAAAAATATGAATAGAATACCATAAAATCACATCCTAACCACTCAAGTTGTCGTCAACAAATTCTAACCACCCAATTGTTATGATTCGTAGTCTAGTTGATAAAGACTTAGTATGGAGTACATGCATGTATATTTTATGGTAGTAGTAGGTTTATAAATCTAATATCATATCACTAATAAATAAAGTCGGTCTCGCAGTCAGGACACGAGACAACGACACTTGTCATTTTAGTTTTTAGTTTTTAGTCAAGTATCGCGTTGTGTAGGCGACAAATGGGTATTATTGTGACACATTTGTGGCTAAGTAAGCGATTTTTTGATAGATTTTTTAAGATAAAAATGTAATATAGATTTTTATTATCGGTATACTTCTAATATTTCATATATACAAAATTAATCATAACTTTAAATAAATATCCTATAACCGGTTTTATTTTTAATATAAAATTCGTTTCAAAAAGTTCTTTAAAATAAGATTCATTTATAATATATTTAAGAAGATGAAACCCGTGCGATACAAGTTTTGTTTGTATTTTTTAAAAACAATTTTTTTTGTATGTAGATAATAAAATGTGTTATTTTATTCATTCAAACTTTAAATTCTCATTCGTCAATTTAGCTTATGTGGCATTTTAAGTATTTAATTCTAAAAGAAATTACAAATCTCTTATTTGATTGGCTATAACTAAATTTGTAATCTTACATGGCGCGTTAAGAAAATTAAATCCTACGTGGCTCACTAAAAACTTGGGAAAAAATGCCCCTTTATATATACTAGTACATACCTCTGGGCATTGCCCCGGGTTCCCTCCATAATATATATCCTTATGTTTTAAAAAACCTTACATTAATTGGCTACTTATAAAATAATTATAAGAAATAATGATTTTTTCAAAAGGCATTATTACTAATGTATAAATCTATCCACGTTTGAAACATTAGTTGCTTTAAATGTTCATAATCGGATGAGTAATTTAATTTTACGGTTCCATTGACATTTAATAATTGGAGTACTCCTAGACTTTATTCGAAACCCTTAGTTTGAAAGTAAAAATATATTACTACCGATCATAAAGTTGTGGGTTATAATTTTTAAAGTATATCATAAAAGAATTTTTTTGGAAATACTCTTTAACACGAATATTATGATATAAAAATAATAAATTATGGAGAATTATTGAAAGTTATAATTTTTTTTTAAAATAGGATTATAATTTTATTTGTATATATATATATATATTGGTATTTTATCGAAAATATAACTCTAAACCAGTAATTTTATCCTAAAATCTATCCAAATTTTATTGAAAATAAAACTCTAAACTAACTTTTTTATCTTAAAAAATATATCTAAATTTATCCAATATTTTTATCCTACGTGTCATACTAATAATTAATTGTTGCCTACATGGCGTGACACTTGGTGAAAAATTAAAATGCCAGGTGTCGGTGTCTCGTGGCCTGGCTAAAAGTTAAGCTTTATATATTAGTTTTGTGCCCGGACGATGCCCAGATGGTTGATAAAATTTTCATATGACATTTTTACTTGAATGTTAATAAATACGATTATATAATCCGTTATTATAATGTAGGATATTTAGACATACGATATCATATGGCTTATATTTATATAATAGTGTACTTTTTGTAGTTTTGTTTGTAAATAGATATATATGTTATTGTTGACTTGAAATTACGAACTTAAAGTATCTTTACTAAACTAAAATTATTTTTACAGATTAAAACTTATTTTTACCGATTCTCTATTATTTGTTTAAATAAATTAAATAACAATTCATTTTGTATGCGGCTAGCCACACCATCTGGCCGGACAAAGTAACCCCTATAAAACTGATCGAGTAACCCTTGTAATACTAACTGAGTAACCCTTATACAGAACACAAACTGAGTAACCACTATAACACTGACCAAGTAACACCTATACCACGAAATAACTCTAATAAAAGTTGGTGATACGGTTTGACCGGCTACATATAAAAGTTTGTGATTAAATATATTGTAAATGGAATAAAGAACTTTTTAAAACGAATTTGATGATGGAAATAGATTTGAGTTATGGGATATTCATAATAAAAAGTTATGATTAATTTTGTATATATGAAATATTAGAAATTTATCGATAATAAAACTCTATACAACAATTTATCTTACAAAATCCATCCGTAAATCGCTTACTTAGCATCATACGTGTCACAATAATACCTATTATTATCGCCTACGTGGCGCAACACTTGGCAAAAAACTGGAATGCCAAGTGTCGCTGTCTCGTGGCCTGACTGCGAGATCAGCTTTATTTATTAGTGATATAATATGATATTAGATTTAGTTAAAAAAATAGAGAATTAGTAAAAATAAGTTTCAATCAATAAATAAAAAATTGGTTTGGTAAAAATACTTTTAGTTCAGTAAAAATAATTTAAGTTCAATAACAATAATTTCAAGTCAATAATAACATAGATATCTATATACAAACAAAACTACAAAAAGTGCACTATTATATAATTATAAGCGATAGGGCATATGTCTAAATATCTTGCATTATCAAAAAGGATTATATTACCGTATTAATGAACATTCAAGCCAAAAAGTTTATTCTAAAATTTTATCATCCATCTAGGCATCGCCCGGGCACAAAACTAGTATATATATAAAGGAAAGTTTTTTCCCGAGTTTTTAAAGCACCACGTAGGATTTTAATTTTTAAAAATTATTAGAGTGCCACGCATGATTAATATTTTTAAAACGCTACAATCGGATTATGCCAAGTAAGATTAGTTTTTTTAAAGCGCTACGTAGGAATATAATAATGAATAAAAATTTATCAAAAGGTCACATAGAAAAATGTTATATTTTAGCCAATGAAAAAAAGAATTGCAATTTATTTTAGATCTATATTAATTATAAAAATAAAATCAACGCGTTTTTTGTGTGGCTGGCCATATCGTATGGCGGCTTAAACACACCAAAATACTGACCGAGTAACCCCTGACCAAATAATGCCGGGCACACGGTGTGACTAGTCATATATGAAACTTGTGAAATAAAATATTATCTTTTTATATTAGGAATTTTTATCTAAATATGAAAAACAAAATTAATAATTCATTTTATGGTAAAAAATTCAAGTGGTAGACAAATAAATATCACAAAATTTATCAAATAAATATATATATTTAGTAAAATATTTTATTTGAAAAAATACAAACAAATCGTGCATCGTGCATCGCTTCATCTAGTTTTCAATAACTAACAAAAAAATAAAACACACAATTCCAAAGAAATGAATTAATAGTGATTGGCAGGCAAATCCCTCGGCACATGCATAAATGGGAAGCCACTCCAAGTTTCCGACAACATTCCTCACCATATAGCCGTTGCTCTACCTTCTAGCGGGTCCTTTCTTACTCATTTTTCTAACAATCAACCAAACGCATCGTACACCACATTTATGAGATGACTCATTTCTCAAACAATCAACGAAACGCATCGTACACCAATTTTATGGGATTTTCAATTCTCATGTTATCTCACCTTTTTGAAGTGTCAAATTTATAACATACATGATTTTATCTTTTAATTGAAGGACCACACTCTCCATATCAAATATAATTACGAGTATTTCACTTTCTTATGTTTGTTAATGTAAATTTTTTGAATTGTGCTAGAGTTAAAACTTAAAAGTGTAAGCCTAATAATTGATACAATAGGGAAGTTGTCTAATTGGTTGACACAGAGCTCAACTCACTTTGTAGCGATAATGTAGGTTCATGCACACTATGTTTATTTAATTTTTATTTTTCTGAAAGAAAAACAAGTCGTAACTGTATTAATTAATGGGACACAAGTCTGAAAGTGCATAGGGCGAAATATCTAATGAACAATGGTTCAACCAAAGTTATTCTACACCAAAGGATATGAGCTTAGCTAGATAATAAGCCAACCAAAGTTATTCTACACCAAAAGGATCTGAGCTTAGTTGGATGATGAACAACACGGTTGTCAAATAGAAGTAAAGCATCTACTTCATGCCAAGGCATCAAACACACCATCCAAATCAGAGAAGTATTAGGTATCTTTTTAGCCAAATCAATCTATCTATCTATTAACTCCTTATTACAATATTGAAAATCTTCAATACTCCGCAGCATATTTTGATTATATAAGGTGAATGATTTAAGAATTTGCATTAAAAACACATGTATAGTATAGCCTGTAGGAGTATAAGTACTTGATAAATGTTACTCCGTAATAAACAAGCTAAAAATGACATATACTTATTAGGAAACAGAAAAAACAGATAAAACTTTTATTTTACTTAATAATTAACCGATTTCATATTAGTACAGTACGATGAAATATCATCATTTGAAATTTACTAAAACACTCTTCTAATCTATTTCTATGGCTGTAATTTGAAAGCTTTGACATTGTAAGAGATTTTCAAAAATAAAACTCTAGCTTATAAAAGATACAAACGAAAATAGTACTTTTTTTAATTTTTTACCTCCAATCACATGACATATCCTTAATCCGTGTCAAAAATGTGTACCCCTCCTCAAGTAGCAATATAAAACCAATGAAGAAGTACTAAAATGAAGGAGCAGGGGCATTTAGGTCAACTCAATCCCCTTAATTACCAAAATCTACAGGTGGACCCCTTCCAAGCTCTACAACTATAAAAGCCATACCTTCCAATACAAGCCACCCTTATTTCCTCCAATACACACTTCTTCATTAATACCCACTTCTACACTCTCTCCCCCCACCTTTTTCTTTTTCCATTTCTACTCCTCTTTTTCTCTCCTCCATTTCCACTTTCATTTCTCCACTCGAAACCATTATACCAACCTCAACCCAATTTCATTTCATTTCTTACTACATTTCTTTCAACAACAATGGTTGATGTAGACCGAAGAATGATCGGTCTAAACCCGGCTCACATCGCCGGGCTCCGTCGTCTATCTGCTCGTGCCGCGTCCGGCCCATCTCCTCCTACTCCTCTTCCTTCCCGCGTTTCTCTCTCTTCTCTCGCTTCCAAACTCATCTCTCACCTTAAATCATCCGGTATCCAAGTCCAACCCGGGTTAACCGACTCCGAGTTCGCTCGCTCCGAAGCCGAGTTCGGGTTCGTTTTTCCACCCGACCTTAAAGCTGTCCTCCAAGCGGGCCTTCCTGTCGGGCCGGGTTTTCCCGATTGGCGTTCACCTGGGGCCCGTCTTCACCTCAAAGCTCTCATCAATCTCCCTATTGCAGCTATCTCTTTCCAGATCGCTAAGAACTCACTCTGGTCAAAATCATGGGGCCCACGACCTTCCGACCCGGAAAAAGCCCTTCAAATCGCGAGAACTTCTCTTAAACGGGCCCCACTTTTGATTCCCATTTTCAACCATTGTTACATCCCTTGCAACCCGTGTTTAGCGGGTAACCCGGTTTTCTACGTCGACGAGAATCGGATCTTTTGTTGTGGGCTCGATTTATCCGACTTCTTCGAACGAGAATCATTAACAACTTCTAGTACCTTCGATGAAAACACTTCATTACATAAACAGAGATCCTTCAGTGGATCTTCAACTTCGTCGTCCTCATCATCTTCCACGTACTCCAACCTCTCTAGAAGATCTCTCGAAGGTTCTAGAACTCCTCGATGGGTGGAGTTCTGGAGTGACGCCGCCGTTGATCGCCGGAAAAGGAACTCAAACTCGTCAACTTCGCCGGAGAGATTCTTCGACATGCCAAAGTCCGAAGCTCCGAAATGGGTCCAGGAATACGTAAATCAAATCGGGTCGGTTTTAAAAGAAGGTGGATGGAATGAATCAGACGTCTCAGAGATTGTCCACGTGTCAGCATCAGGATTCTTCGAAGGTGGTGAGATGGTATTGTTGGATAATCAAGCAGTATTAGATGCTCTCCTTTTAAAAGCGGATCGTTTTTCGGATTCCTTAAGGAAAGCCGGGTGGAGCTCCGAGGAAGTAACGGATGTGTTCGGGTTTGATTTTAGAGTACCGGAAAAGGAGAGGAAACCGGTAAAAAATCTGTCGCCTGAGTTGGTTGAAAGGATTGGGAAACTTGCTGAGTCGGTATCCCGGTCATCATCAAAAATTGGTCTAACAGCAATAGCATCTTAATTGGCGGGGTTACCGGTAACTGCGCATAGAGATTCTATTATCTTTTCTTTTTAAGAATTATTATTATTTCTGTATTATTACTATTATTATTATTACTATTATTTTTTTTTTTTTAGAAAAAAAAAAAAACAACATTTTGGAACCATGGGATTAAGGTTCTCTCTTTTTAGGCAAAAAAAACGAAGCGTAGAAAGAGGGTGGAGATTTACTCGGTGTTGTACTATGAAAGGAAAGCGAACATACAAAAAAAATGGATATAATATTTTTATTTTAATAATAATGTAATGAATGAATATACAACTCTATTTAATTTTTACTTGTCTCTAATATTTTCTTTAAAGTGCGTGTTAATAACATTTGTTGCCAAATATAAAAACCGAAGGGATGTAAATGTTTACAGCTAGTAATAGATACTTAGGATTGTTAATTTATGGATTAGTGAGTTGTTTAACGTTCAAAACTTTGAATTGGAATGCACGTGTGCGTCCTCTTTGGGGAAAAAAGAGACGTTTAAGGGAGTGGGACCAAAGAAAGATGAGAGTGGTATGAAAAATGAAAAATGAGAAGTTATATTAAGATTTTTATGTGTTGGGAACCACTAGAGGTGTCCACCGTGCGAGTCGTGCGAGCTGGGTTAGGGTTAGGTGGGTCGCGGGTTGGGGTTTCATGACACACGGCACGACACACGTAGGGTAGGGTGGGTCGGGTCGTGGGTTGGGTCGGAGAAGTTGGACACACCAGGGTTAGGTTCGTGGGTTAGACGAGTCGTGGGTGGGTCGAGCTGGGTTTGTGGGTTAGACGGATCGTGGGTGGGTCGAGCTGGGTTTGTGGGTTAGACGGGTCATGGGTGGGTCGAGCTAGGTTCGTGGGTTAGACGGGTCAAGGTGGGTTAGTGAGTTAGGGTGGGTCGAAGGGTGGGTTAGTGGGTTAGGGTCGGGTGGGTTTGTGGGTTAGGTGGGTTAGGGTCGGGTGGGTTAGTGGGTTAGGGTCGGGTGGGTTTGTGGGTTAGGTGGGTTAGGGTCGGGTGGGTTTGTGGGTTAGGGTCGGGTGGGTTCGTGGGTTAGGGTCGGGTGGGTTGTGTGGTGTTTTAATTTTTACAAAATTAACAATTTGATGGCTTGCTCTTAATTAAGATGCCTACGTATCCTTATATTATAAAATAAGGAATCAAAGCCAGCGTAGTTCTTATATTGTACTTCTTTTGAAATTTGGGGGGGGGGGGGGCTTGGACCTATCTTTAGAAAACTAAAATTTAATTTTGCAATTAAATTGTAATTTTCGAAAAATAAGTTGCCTACGTATCCCGAAAGAATCAAAGCCCACGTAGTTCTTAGCGTACCTGATTTAGACTTTTCTAGCCACCCATGTTTGTTGCATCATCATCCCCGGAAGCTGCATCATCCGTTGACGACTCCAATATCATCACAGGATCATCTTCATCGTCTTCGTCTTCCTTTAAACCTTGAGTTCTTCTTTCAGCTTGATCCCAATCTTTCTTACAAACACAAATTTGAATGCTTTCCGGAGTTAAGCGAGATCTTTTTTCATCTAACACTCTTCTACCTGCACTAAAAGCAGACTCGGAAGCAACAGATGAAGCGGGAACTGCAAGTATATCTTTTGCAATTCTCGCCAATATAGGAAAACTTTTTTTATGTTCTTGCCACCATTTTATAATTTGAAAGTTGTTGTTGGTCTCATGTTGATATGACAAATAATCATTAATAGCAAGTGTTGAAGAAGATGATGATGAGAATGATGTAGATGCTTTGTGTTTTTTTTTCATAACTTTATCAAGAAAACCAAATCTAGAATCGGAAGTGCTAGTAGTAGTTGGTGTTGCCAAATCAAAACCATAAATAGATGCATAATGATCATAAAGGTCTCCCAAAACAGATTTGCATTTGTTAATATATTCACTAACATCATAATCGATACTTAAACTTGTATAATAAAATTCTAAAAGATTTTCCAAACCTTCAGCTTTGACACCGGGGTCAAGAATAGCAGCAATTCCATAAATGATTGGAAATTCACTAAAATAAGTATGCCACTTACGTTTCATGCTATCAAGAACGGGACGAAGTCCATCAATCTTCATATGCTCTTCGATGGTGTGAACAACTTTAACACACTCAATTATGACTAAATGAACGTTAGGCTCATAAATATAAGAGAAAATCTGAGTTGCACTATCAAAAGCATTTAAAACATCACGAACAAAAGAAGCATTAGTCCAATGACTTTCGGTTATTAACTCAGTAGGATCAACACGAGTCTCATTGTAAAGTTGGGTCAAAATATCACGATACTTTATAGCATCACTCAACAACTTGAAAGTAGAATTCCAACGGGTAGGGGTATCAATAGACCATTGTCTTTTCTTAAGACCTCTCTCTTTACACATAGCTATGTACTTTCTTCTAACTGACTGAGTAATCCTAATCCATTTTATAACTGTTCTAATTGGGTTTAGCAATGGTTGCAACTCAGCGAGACCCTCTTGAACAGACAAATTCAAAATATGAGCACAACATCTAACATGCAAGAGACTACCACCCAACAACAAATTCAACTCGGAGTCATTTTTCAAATAGTCAATACACTTTGTGTTTGCAGTTGCATTATCAAGAGACAAAGAAAAAACTTTATTATTCAAGTGAAATTCTTTTAAACAATCCAAAATACGAACTTTGATGTTAAAACCGGTATGCCTTTCTTCCATAGCTTGAAAACATAGTATACGTTTTTGAATAAACCAATCATCATCCACCCAATGAGCAGTAATGCAAAGAAAAGGTTCGCCAAAACTAGAAGTCCATGTATCACTTGTAAAACTAACACGACCATCAAAAGTACGAAATAATTCAATCAAACCACTCCTATACTTATAATAAGAAGTTTGTGTATAACGTCTTAGGGTATTTCGGGGGACACGAGTAAATGCAGGTTGTAATGCAACTTTATTAAAATGCTCAACGTTTGCATTTTCACCGTAACTAAAAGGGTATTCATTAGCAATAACTAAAGTACTCATTTCATCAATCATTCTATCTTTATTATAAATGAAAGGTGTACCTCCGCCGGGTTGGTTCATGTATCCACCCAATTGTGTTTGGACGCCACCCCCCGAAGGACGGGGGCCATTTTCGAACAAGTCGTGTTTATTTTGCAAATGCCGACTCAAGGTTCCGGTTCCATCTCCCGTTTTCCAATTATATGACTTGACATTTGCACCTAGCGCCTTGCAAACTAGGCATGTACACGTGAACCTCTTTGGTTGACCAGGTTGCCATCCCGGGGGTGTGACCTCAACTCGTTCAAAATGTTTCCACACCCAAGAAAAATGTGCTCGACCTCTACTTTCACCGCCACCACCTTTCATAAATCAAATTATTAAAATTAATTTTTAAATGCTATTCATGAAAATAAGCTTTTAAATTTTAAATATTTTAATTATACTTATTTAAACGCATTTTTCATGGTAATTAACTAATTGTAAATCATAGAAAATTGGAAACTAAACTAACTTTATAATCATTAATAATAGTTTTTTTAAATATTCATAACAATAAAAATTTAATTAGAAATTACCTTGAGATGAAGGTTGAGATGTTGGTTGCGATGGAGGTGGCATAGTTGAACTTGATGATTGGTGGGACTCGTGGGAGAAATGTTGTGGTGGAGACGTTTGAATATTTTGCCTATCTCCTAAACCATAATCTCCATATTCATTGACAAATTGGTTTAAATTTTCCGTATTAATTTCATACGAAAAATTTGCACCACCACTCCTTTGGCTACCACTTCGACCACCACTTTGACTCCTTCCCATTCCTCCTCTTGAGCTCATTTTTTTTTTGTATGATTACTAATTATAATATGGAGAAGAACTTTTTTTTTTAGAATCTTAAGAATACTAATAATAATATTAAGGAGATTTTTTTTAACAAAAATATAACTCTATATAACACTTGAGAATTTGAGAACAATAAGAATTTTTAAGTAAGAGAGAAAGAAAGCTTGAATTTGTGTGGAAATTTGAGTGAAATGGAATTGGTATTTATAGGAAAAATAGAATGGATGATCATACACTTAAAAAACTAGCCGTTAGATACAAAAAACTAGCCGTTTTTTTTTTAAAATGGATGTTAGGCCGTGCGGGCCGTGCGGGTCGTGCGAATTGTGCGGGCTGTGCGGGCCGTGCGGGTTGTGCCGACCGTGCGGGTTGGGTGGGTCATGCGTGCGGGTTGGGTGGGTCATGCGTGCGGGTTAGGTGGGTTGGCTCGTGCGGGTTGGGTGGGTCATTCGTGCGGGTGGGCCGTGCGGGCTGGGTTGTGCCAGGTGGGTCGGGTTAGGTGGGTTCACGGGCTAGGTGTGTCGAATTAAATGAGTCAAAACGGGTTGTGCGATTTGGGTCGAATCAAACGGGTTAAACTGAGCTGGATTGAAATGGGTTGTGTCGAAAATTTTGGACCCACGACACAACCCGGATTAAATCCGAGCTGTGCCGGGCTGTGCCGGATTGAAACCGGGTCGGACCCACGTGACCCACCAGCCGTGCGAGTTAGGGTGGGCTGGGTCCAACCCGGCCCACTGGCCACCTCTAGGAACCACTATATCATCAAGAATTCAAGATTTTAAACCCAACGGACGACATTGGAAATGTGGGGTAATCGACTGTCCGACGGCATCGTATCGCTGTGTTTATGTGTGTGTATCTTGTCGTTTTGGTCATTGAATGATTGATTTTTATGGGGTTGGGTTTGATTGGGGATGTCACTTGTGTCAATATTAGACCCTAATTATATTAAATTATTTGTGACTTGTGAGTATATTACTTTAGGAAGACATTAAGGGTCTGCTGTTTTTTTTCTAAAAAAAATAATTTTGGACTCTTGAGACATAAGATCGAGTACAAGCTGTACAACCTAGCTAAGGTTTTTTTTTTTTTTTTTTAATTTTTTTTTTAAGGTAAGAAAAAAAGGAAATAATTAGGACCCCCTCCTCACGAGAGGCGATCCTAAAGCATCTGAGGTGAGAATGGGGTGTAAAGCTGAAGAGGTACAAAAAGAAATATCCAATTTGTCGGTGACAAGATGCCCAACATTTGCAATCCAATCTACTGCTCTATTTGCTTCTCTATAGACATGTCGAAATTCCCAATGGGGGAATCTGCGAAGTAGGATCTTGATATCTTCTATAATATGATCAATTTATCATGGGGTCGACTAAATACCGTTTACTGCGTTGACAACTAGGAGGTTGTCCCCTTCAATATAAAGGTTATGAATTCCTTGTTAGAGGGCGAGGA